CGCGGGGTTTGGGATTATAGTCCCCCTCAAATAGATAGAATGTGAGGTATATGGGGTCTTATTATAGTATACCCAAAGCCATATTCTATCTACTTAACGGGGACTATACCCTAAACCCTAAACGCTAGACCCTAAACCTTAATTTTTATCTCATGAAGGGGCACAATACCCTACACCCTAAACCCTACGGTAGAGACTTTTTCCGCAAGCTCGGGAATCCGCGGAAAGCATTAGCTATCGTAGTTGAGCATCCTCACGATCGGAATCCTTAAGTGGGGTAAGTTATGAGAGGGCTAAGGGGTCCCGATTTGAGACTGTATGTCTTCCGATGTAGGTTAGGTGGACTAGGTTGGCTTCTGACTATAAGGGAGAATGAGTTTAGATTAGGGTCCTCTTATAGTCCTATTATATTGCTATTACAGGGTGGGGGGTCCTCCTAAGATGTAGGTTGCATCACGGGACATAGTTGGAACATGGAAACGTGTAGGCACGCGATGTTTTGGGGGGTTCAGGGTTCATGGTTTTGCAAAAATGGGTCAATGATTTCCTCTGGTGCCTCAGAGGGAATGGGGGAATGGATCCCTATCGTAGTCCCTATATAACCCCCAGTAGTAATCCCTATAATCCATTCCCCAATTCCCTGCTAAGCACCAGGGAGTTTCTTGCTTTTTTGGGTTTTGGGTTGCGTGTTGGCGTTCCCTTGTCTCACGCAGGAGAAGGGAAGGCCAGTGAGTTGTCTCAACGTAGCAGCGCTCCCCTAGTCTGACGTAGGATTTCAAACAGGTTCCTTTCATATGGCCAGTCTTCTTGAAGCGCCCTTTTGTCAGCTTCCATATGTGCTTGAAGCAGTGCGCTTAGAGGGGTCATCGGGACCTGACTACTCACGAAGCCCCCTGACGCTCAAAAGTTGACATTTGTTTTCACTTGTCTGTAGTGCGTTCGGTAATCGCGTTTGGCGGGTGGGGATGAACTTGGAGTTAAACCCTAGACCCCAAACCCTAAGCCCTAAACCATATCAATCTAAGGGTCATAGAAAGGGAAATCTTCGGGGTTAGGATATAGGATTGGGGGTTAGGGTCAAGGGTTATAGGGGTTGAGGAGTACAAATAGTGGTAACTCTTCATGCTTCTACAGAAAGCTCTGTTGTTACACTCCCAAAAGCGCAAAGTCGCAAGCCGCACTCTAGGGTTAAGGCTTAGGTAAGAAAACGCTCAAATTCAACCAGGCTATACTTATCCACCCTATAGTTGCTTTTGTTGACAGCGCCGGTGTTTCGTAGTACGCCTAGATACGTTTACAGTTGAGGATTTTCCGTTTCATCCGAGGCAGCAAAAAGTCCATGCGGAGCCTCAACACGCAGTGGAAGTGTGACGACGCTTGTTTGTATTGACAGAAGAATCAAGGAAACCTCCAAGTGGGTAGTCATGGGTAATATAGGGGCCTAAATAACTAGCAATATTATGGTTCCATATTCCTTGTAGAATTATAGTAGATGGTACCTCAAATGGACCTCAACATGATGTTGGTAATTATTTAGGCCCCTGTAGCAGTCATCAGGTGGGCCCCATGAACTTTACACGAGCCATACATGGGGGTACCCACCCGGTACCTCCCCCCCAAACCCTAAGCCCTAAACCTAAACCCTAAACCCTAAACCCTAAGCCCTAACCCTTAAATCCTAAGCCCTAAACCCTAAACCCTAAAGCCCAAGCCCTAAGCCCTATATGGGGTGTCCTTGACTGAAGCGTCTGCAGGGGCTTTAAGGACAAGGTTTGAGACTCGCGTTGATCAATTCGGGAGGAGGTTGGGTTGAGGTTAGGGTTCATGGTTGGGTTTAGGATTTAGGATTTAGGGTTTAGGGTTTAGGGTTTA